TGTAATGTTGTCTTTTTGTTGGACTGATACTTTTCAATTATTTTGTGAAAACAAGGCCAAGTCAAGTACATGTAATGATAACAAGTGATATTTGTTTGGTTGTTTGTTCGTTTTGCACCAGCATCACAATCGCTGGCATCAACAGCTAATGCGAAAGCCTTATCAAAGTCAGGTTCCATCTATACAGGGTAAGTGCACAACAAAGATTTGACCTTTTGAAAAGCAGATTGACATGTTTCAGACCATCTGAATTTTTTATTTTTCTTCAAAAGGTTTGTTAATGGTACAGTGATGACAGCAAAGGTTTTACAAAACTTCCTGTAATAGCAAACCATTCCCAAAAATCTTATCAAACTTTTCTTGTCGGTAGGAGTTGGATATTTCACAATGCGATCAACTTTGGCTTGTATTGAAGAAACTAGACCATGGCCCACTACATGACTTAAGTAAACAACTCTGGCTTTACAGAAGTCACTTTTTGCCAAATTTGCAGTGAGATTTGGCTTTCTTAAGCCTCTGAAAAACATCACGTAATACACATAAATGTTCTTCCCATGAGTCACTGGAAATCACAACATCATCAACACAAATTCCAACATCTGACAGATTGTTGAGGCATTGATTCATCATTCACTGAAAAGTTGCTTGAGAATTTTTCACCCCAAAAGGCATTACATTGTACTGGTATAACCCATCAGGAGTAACGAAAACAGAGAATTATTTTATTCTGTCAGTTAGAGAAACAGCCCAGTATCCCTTTAATAGGTCACACTTCATGATATATTTGGCTTTTTCAATTTTATCAATACAATCTACCATTCTTGGAATGGGATAGGAATTTCTCTTTGTCAAAGCATTTACTTTGCGAAAGTCTATACAGAATCTAACTGAGCCATCAGATTTAGGGACCAGTACAAAAAGAGAAGACCAGTCACTTTTACTGGGCTCTATAATGCCGTTTTCCAGCATGTATGATATTTCTTTACGCATTTTATCGGCCTTGATTGGATTCACACGATAGGGATGCTGCTTCACAGGAGAAGCGTCATCTTTTTCTACATCATGTACAGCGATGTTGGTTTTACTAGGAACGTCTGGAACTATACATTCATATTCATTCAATAAACTAGCAAGTTGATTTTTCTCTTCAGGAGGCAAATGATCGAGTTTTGAAACAAGATTGGCCAGAATGTCCGAATTACTCAGTTTGATGTTGCATTCGTCTCCAATATTTTCGAATTTACGGGTGTCTGAGTCAAAGCAACTGTCATCAGTATAAGGAGAATACTCAACGGTTAAAATATTTTCGGATGCATCTCGGACGTGATAAGGCTTCAATATATTAATATGACACAGCTGAGTAGCCTTTCGACGATTAGGTGTTTTTACAACATAGTCTGTATCATTAACTCTCCGAACAACCTTATAGGGACCATGATACCTAGCTTTGAGTGAATGTCCCCTAGTGGGTAACAATACCAAGACCATGTCAACAGGATGGAACTTACGCTCTTCAGCCTTACAGTCATAAACATTTTAACTTGGGATTTTCTCGAGCCAATTCACAAGCACGTAAGAGTCTGGACCGAGACTTGGAAACGCAATCCAATAAGTGCATTTCTTTTGGATCATCTTCCAACCATTGTTCCTTCAGCAACTTCAAAGGACCACGCACTGGATGGCCAAACATCAACTCAAATAAGCTAAACCCTAACGACTCCTGACCTGACTCACGAACATCAAATAATAATAAATTAACTCCTTCATCCTAATTCTCCTCGTTATCAAGACAGTAAGTCTGCATCATATTTTTCAAGGTAGAATGGAATCTCTCAAGACCACCTTGCGATTCTGGATGATACCACTAGATTTGACCTGTTTAGCACCGAGGTGATAAACAACTTGATGAAACAACCCTGAAATAAAATTTGATCCTTGATCAGATTGAATTTCTTTGGGCAAGCTAACAAAAGTAAAGGAATTGATCAATGCCTTAAACATTTTTTGGGCTGAAATGTTTTAAAAAGGATAGCTTCAGGGAATTGAGTGGATGCGCTCATGATAGTTAACAAATATTAATTTCCCGATCGAGTTTTTGGTAAAGGCCCCACACAATCAATAATCACACGACTGAAGAGTTCTTCGAATGCTGGGATAGGTTTCAGAGGAGCAACAGAAATTTTCTGGTTAGGTTTTCCGACCAATTGACAGGTATGACAAGTTTTGCAAAACTGAGAAACGTCTTGCCTGAAATGGTTAGCGAGCCGATCACTGTTTCTTCTAAGGATGATGTTGTAGTTGAGGAGAATTCCGATGTGTTTTCCTCGTGTGCTGTGACTGGAGCTCAGGCTAAGAAATTAAGCCAAAAACAAAACCTATCAATTTAAATGTCTTTGGACAAAAGAGTAATCGCTTTAATAATAGCAACGACAGCTTTCAAAATCTGAAGGTGAGATTTAACTTTTTTTCAGTCACGGATGAGCGGCTCTGAGTTTTTTTTTTTTTTTTTCAAGCACAAACTTTTAGTTCATAGCTATGTCATCTCTTGACCGATTTGAGATATAATTACAATTTTTGGCTCAGGAGGTAAAACCCTTTGGATTGATGTATTTGACCATGCCCAAGGTCTCATAGATTAATTTATTCTAATCTTGCCTAAAATAATTTCAATTTGAGGGTAGGCTGGTAGATATTCAATGAGTAATAAAATCGAATTGGGTATAAGCGCGCACCAAGGCTGATATTGCTATTGAGAATTACAACTAGTATTTTTGTTGCTTTTTTGTGTTTAGAGCATAGAAGACACAATAAGTTATAAAGGCCTCTGGAATTCTAGTATTCTTAAATATAATAATGCTGTTACGACAGCGGAAGTCACGTGACGCTTGTGGCGCGTTTGGCGCTGGTAGCGTGTGTGAAATTTCTAAAATGATCATGAATTATCGCGTAATCTCGAGTTTGTTCGAGACGCCCTATTTTTTAATATATAAGCCTGGCAGTGAAATCCTGCGGGATTGAATGAAGAGAGTTCCGGGTAATTTATGATTCTGTTTCGAGCTAGTGTGTGTTTTTTGTTATCGAGACTGTGAATCGCTGTGATTTATAGTGTGTATTATAAACGTAGTTAAGTTTAAAGTGACGAGAAACGTAGTGACTGTGAAATTACTGTGTACCAAAGTGTGTATTGAGAAAGAATAAAGTGGTTCAATCAAGAAAGGACTTGTATCGCTGAAGTTTCTCGGAAATAATTTCTACCGGAAATTAACAAACAAGCAGATACGTAACAATGCCAAATCGCATACATAGACCAAGAGTTAATTTACTTAAGCTTTTCTTTTTTTTTCCTGTCCTGGTTTCTTTAAGTCATTCCAACCGAACACAGAGTCCTGATCTTATAACAGCCGTGCGAAGACAGCAGTTATTTTGTTGTCAGCGTAATTTATATAGATTGTTGAGTATATTGAAACGGTTTTGAATACGGAAATCAGCAAGACATTTGACAACTATAACAGATATAATGTCACGGTGAAACGGCATCTATCAAAACTACATTTTGACATTATTTGATATCACACAGTTCTAAGTAACTATATTTCCTCACATTTAAGCATATATTGTCAAATATACCTTGTTTACGTTACTACGTTCATTAAATATTGTCCTAAGTTAACTTTTATATTATTATTGTCCTCCGATGGGCCAGTTGTAAGTCTACATACTTACAAGGCTAAAATCTGGGGTTTGATTCCCCGAGGTGGGCACAGCAGATAACTCAACGTGGCTTTGCTGTAAACACATAACAACAACAACAAATCATATATTATTTGGATTCAACTGTACTTCAATATCTACTTTATTTCTTGTAATAATATAGTAAGCTACATTCCTTTATAATTCTACTTTTACATTCTGAGAATTTTATGTTAAAACTCGTAAGGTAAAAATTATGGTAAACTTTCTAGTAGATAAAATAAAATGTGGTATGCAGTTGAAGACGTTAAATTTCCCGTCTTCATACTACTAAAATAATTCAATTCTCTTAATGACATTTTGAGGGCCTACTGGTTAGGGCGGTCGATTCGCAATCTGCGGGTCATGGGTTTCAATCCTGTCACCGTTTTTGTTCGCCCTTCAGAGGACGTTATAAAGTGACGGCCAATCGCACTATTCGTAGCCCAAATATAAACGGTTGGTAGTGTTGATTAACTGCTTTCCTTCTAGTCCATTCTTTTCCAAAGATTAAATAGCGACGCCCCTCTAACTCAGCAAAGTTTCTGTTGGGACCTTCCACCCCACCCACCCCTTTTACATTAAAAATAATATTTGCAAGTGAGAACAGCAAAATCAACATTTTCTTTGCTTGTTTTTAATGATTTTTTTAAAAATGAAAATGCTTTTAAGGAGAGAGTAAATGCGAGTACAAAAAATAAAGAAATAAAGCTTTGAGAGAAAAGGTTATCGTTGTCTGCAACTCTTCTCTTCTCTTTAATCGGTGCTTAGGTCTTGTAGACCTTGGAGGGTCACGTGCAGATGACCTCTTTCTTCACCAACTCTTCTGTTTCTTCCGTCATTATTTTGTTTTGAGCTCTCCCGCCAAAAGGCTCTCCGGGGGAGCGTCCCGCAGTTTGTAAAACACTATTCTTGTCTATCTCTTCTAAATTACAGACGGCTATGACACATAGCCCTCAAGTAGTTTCGCGCGAAATTCCAGAAACAAACCAACTTAACGATATTGTGAAAATGTAAAACAATAGTTTAATTTGAAAGAATGCGTCTGATTTTATTGACTTTTCTTATACATGGGAAGTTTTAAAAGAACGTAGTTCTCCTACTTTTTAAGAATGATAATTTTAATATCAGCATGTGCATAAGAAATCACTGAAAAGCACGTGTGTGTGACAAGTGCCTCTAAATAACAACTCTTGTGTGTGTGTTGAAATAATATGGCCACACGAGGGCGCACCACGATACACAGCTGTGTAAACACGGCAGAGGTTTGAGAAAAGGGAGAGAAAGCGTTGTGTGACGCCGATTAAGGTATTCGGCACGTGTTAGGGAAGGCAGTAAAACCATTGTAGTTTTAACGATATGCATGCACCATGTCAGATAAAAATAAAGTTGGGAAATTGCACGTTGGTGACGATGGATATATCTCTCCGGATGTAGGGAACCAAAACTACCGAAAAATTTGGGTAAGTTAGAGTATGCATGTTTCATCTTAGTTGTACATTTTATTTTATTTCACGCGTGTTGTACAGTCGCAGGTACAGTGGTACAGGTAATATTAGCAAAGTCTGATGTACGTTAGGTTAGCGTTTCCGTAGTTATTTCATGTTACTGGGAGAGGAAGCGCTCTAAAAACAGGTTTGCCATTTTTTTTATGTCCTTGATTTCCATATGAATATATAAAAATATATATATATATTGTATAAAGTTTTACAGTAATTCAAAAAAGCAACTTTTAAGAAAAATTAGCTTTATGGAAGAGACAAAGGATTTTGTAAAAACTACATACACGAGATATTTGTATATTAATTATAACACCAGTAGTGGTTAATTGTGCCTAGTTAATTAGGTGATCATAGATGAGAAGCCTAATCTTGTAAGATTAGAGCAGGGTATTTATAATTATTTCCTCCATAAATATATTCCCAGAATAAATATGAGTATTTGGTATTAACTTAAAAGATGAACATAATTTTCAAGTAAAAAGGAAAACTCAAATTCGTTGATGTTGAAAAGCAATTGAACATCGATATTAGCAGTAGCCGTAAACTTATTGGTTACTGTACACATGTAAAAAAAACAATAAAAAAATGGGCAAGCTATTGTAACAGGAACAGCTTTAACTTGTATTGTTGTATAAACAAACATTAGTTTATAATTTATTCTCGTCCTTTTCTTGACTCAGTATCATTAAAAAGGTGTCTTTTGAAAGCTTCGTTAAAAGATTGTAATAATATAGTTGGACAAACCTGTATTGGTGAGGTGACCGCCTTTGTTTGTCGCATGTAATATGGATGTCAGTGACACTACAAATGTGAGCAACAAAAACAGCATAATTACTTAATACAGTACCGATATTGTTTTAAATATACCGATTAAAACATTGCTATGTGGTGCGTGTTTGTACAGGATGCATAACAGATGTGAAACGAACACACTATACCCAGTAAGAGTGGAATGTAGCGTAGTTTTAGTAAATCACCTTTTGTTTGGAGAGGCTGTTAACTTTACCTAGGAGTTTCTAAATCGGAAGCGTTTCACAGTGATTCACACTTAATTTTTTTCTTTGAAACAATTCAGTTACCCTCATTCAAAGATAAAGAAAACTACACGCAGTTAAATGATTTTTGTATAATATTTGTCATATATGCATTTTTATATTGAATATATATAAGGCATAACGTAAAATATAAACCACTGATTGATATTAGATTTTAAATTATCTTCCAAAGAGAAATTTTGGTGTAAAATAATTAAACTCGCACTCAATAAAACAGATAACGTAAGAATTAAAAACATAGAATAATTTATTATCTGGATATTTGTCTTAAAAGCGAGTTAAACGTTAATACATAAACTATTTATGAGTAACTAAATCTAATAATAACCACTCCTGGAATATTAGTATATGAATGGTACGGTGTTTGTATTCGCATGGAATAAAATGATAATGTTTCATATAATAAATGAATTTTTGTAAGTGTTAAATTAATCCCATTTTGCGTTTTCAAAATGTTTCGCGTATTTTCGACAAGACTGCACGCATTAGGAAAAATAGCACGTATACCGTTTTAGTGTACAGGTACATATAGATGAGGTAAATACACCGTGCATGACGCATAAATGTCGCTGATAAGTCAGAATGCATTCTCTGCTTGCTGTACAGCATATTCTGTCATTTGATTGGTTATGTTGTTTTTTAGATTAGTTAATAATATGCAGGATGCCTTCTTTTATTCAGGATCTGTATAAGGTGATAAAGAATTAATGTGAAATTTAAAGAAAACGTGGCACAACTTGTAAAATGCTGCAAGTTAACATTCTTTGATATTGTTATTGTATATTTGTCGGTTGACAATCCAGAGCTTTTTCAGACATTGTCGAATTATTAATCACAGTTGTGTTTTATAGGCAATATGAACGGTTCAACCAGGTTCCACATTTATAAAATAATTATACGTACTTGAACCCCAAGAGTTCATCATTTCAGCAACGTACCAAATTACATTTTTTGTAAATGATTACTATGGACTCTACTATGCGAATAAAAGTAACTGTTGTTAACACTTACTTTTTTATGCATTTACAAACAAAACCAAGTAGTATGGCGTTTTATGTAAAGCGTGAAATATGTCAACCAAAAACTGAGTAACTTGAATCCCTTGATCATACACTGAAGTATGAAGACAACATCGTATCACATATCGCAAGAAAGCGATATCGTTTAAATGTAGGGATAATTAAATAAATATTTGCAGGAGAAAAGAAGTCCCTTATTCTCATTCATTTCTTCTTTTCAAAACTCACTGGTAGAGGGACGTACGCATACAGACATACAGTTAAATATTGTACATTTAAGGGGGAAAAAAGAAATTTTGATTATATGCTGCAAATGTAACTGGTGATACACACGTATCTGTAGAAATATTTATTTTTTTATAGTGTGTAGTCTGGTATTGAAAATATTACTGTTTAAATATTTTGATTTATGTCTATGAATAACGAATTTTGTAGGCAACCTATACATACATACGTTAGTTCATCCACAGTTGCTCCAAAAGACGCGGAAAAATCAAACAAGTTAAACGTGAAGTTTAAATGAAAAATATTTTGGGGGAGGTTTCGTAAAAAAGCCCTTAATTAAGTAGCATATACCGAGTTACTTATAATTAATAGTATTTTACTGCCCGACATGGAGCATCCTACCGAAACCACTAAAAAAAAGGGTTTTTGTTCAGACATGGATGTTAACGATTTATTGAAACAATAGCAATCTAGTGATTCTTAGTTGTAAATACCTGGTGATTCAAAAATGTTTACACTTGTATTGAATTTTCTGTTACTTTGCCCGTATTGTTCGTGGATATCTGGACAGGATTTTCCCCAGGAAATGGATTGGAAGAGATGGCCTGTCCGTTCGCCAGATTTTGTGATTTTTGGCTGTGGGGTATGGTTAAAGAACGTGTGTATGCCACAAAGCCACGAGACGTACAAGATCTCCGGGAAAGGATTATAAAAGTCGTACAATCAATACTACTTGGGATGCGATCTGGAGCTCTGGATGCAACGTTTGACCGCTTTCAGACATGCATAGATATTTGTGGAGAGCAAGTTGAGACTGTATGAAACGTAGGAAATATAAAATATAAACCCACACAAGTGAATTAGTTGTGAATCAGCCTGTATATATGTATAACTAGTTGATTTTTCAACTCCCCCATAATATTTGACAAAATATCTTGAAGCTTTCCATGTAGGCTCCTGATCATCACTTAATATAAGAGAAAACGTTTTCGAAAGAGTCTTGATGGGGTATCTGAAATAAGGGTCAAAATGTTTTCGGATTATGTAAACGCTCATACTTGAAAATTCGTATTAAAAGTAAAGAGTCGTTCAAAAGAGTGAACTAGTTTAAGATTTTTTTGCATTTTTAAAGTTCCATATTTCGGGTGTTGTCAGGACAGAATCCACGAATATACACAAAAATTGACATGGACATATAAGGAATTATTCAAATTATTTATCTTCGTTTAGATATTCAAACTTTTTATAATGGGATCGGGGACTAAAACAGAGAAAGGATCAAAGGAGTTTTGTGATCTCAGGATTGGCTTTACTGATTTACTTTAAAATTGACTACATCATGTAACTGTAAGTAGTTATTCAAAACATTGTTTTGCATTGTTTCTTATGGTTTCTTTTTTTTTAACGCTTAATTTGTTTAGTTCTGAAAATTGGGTAAAGCTTCTTTTCAACATTTAAAGTTAAATCATATTTTACTAACAAATAACCAAGTAATAACAGAAAAAAAAAGAAATGATTAAGCTATCTATTTATTAGGCTGACAAAAATAATGTGATGGTATTGCCGTAAAATATAAAATGTCACAAAAAGCATAATTTTAGGGGCTTTGATCCATTTCTTGGCCATGTTGCGACCAATTTACGTGGTATATAGTACAAAAATGCCTTCTTGCAGGTCCCAAACAGTGACATAGATAGTTTTCGATTGTTTGTTTTTAAGATTTTTTCTGGTGTCAAAATTGGCAATGTTGGGAGTGCGTGGCGAGACATGTTGCATTCGTCCGCGCATGTTGGTCTCTTTAATTTATTAGTTTTCCTTAACAAATATTTGATTCAAAATTAGATTAACTTGTTTCTTTCAGTAGAAAAAGCCATGCTTTAGGTGCTGGAAAAACTAGTTTATTACAAAACATTATTCTAAAAGTCGACTTTCTACAAAAAAATTTTGGGAACTGAAGTGATGAGATTACAAAAAAAAGACAAGTTGAAACAAATTTCAAGCATTTAAAATGTCAGAATGAAAGACAACATTAGTACATAAAGTTAAAATACATGCTACTAGAAAGCAAAAACATTATTAATTAAAAAAGTAAATTCATAAAGATTATACTCATATTTTTTGTGAAAGTAAAAATCATCAGATTTATATAGAGTAAAAGATATTCAATGGGGGAAAAAACTGTTTAGATATGCTTTATGCGCATATAAATAAGGTCCACTGATAAGCTTAATTGTTAGTAGTGCCATCTGCTGTTATTTATTGAATGTAATTCAAAAAACTATATTTACGAACACTAAAAGATACTTTTTACCTTGTCTTTTCATAAGTTAAAGACAGTGTTGCACATGTAAGATATTTTTAAAGTTGTCTGAAGAAGTCTTGAAGTGATTATTTTTGTATAGTAAAACTGCCTTTATCATTAACAGGTTTTATGATTTTATCTATATAGTCCCTATATGTGCATCATTCATAAGACTGAAGTATGTGATATATCGATCTTCATTATTGAAATAGCGAACTTTTAGAAATCAAAAATACTTCGTAATAATTTGAGAGTAATACTGCTATAAACACCACTTAGGTCTATTCAACTGGTATTTTCTTTTGTTTGTTTTATAACAAAATCTAACATGTACAAGCCATCATGCTTTATAGCATTTAT